GGGTAGAAGGGGAACTTGGGGAGGGGTACTTGATGGGGAGGGCACAACCATACAGTTCTGCCAAATTATCAGACCACCTTGCAAGAGTGAAGTCAAGAGAAAAATGGGTTGGTGATGGTCAGGACTTAACCCCTTGACTGGGATTGTTTAGCTGTGCATAACTCTTGGACATTATATAAACCTAAACCTCATGTCCCCTCCCCACCCCCTGAAAGGGAAGATGGACTTGGGGGAGCACCCAGATGGCACTCCCAATTCTCTATAAATAAATCATTTTTTAAAATGTCATTCCTATCTCCTCAATGTCTTGAATTTAGTTTTGTTCCTTTGTTTGTTTTGTCCTGGAATTCACTCTGTAGACCAGGCTGGCCTTGAACTCACAGAAATCTTGCCTGCCTCTGCCTTCCAAATGCTGGAATTAAAGGTGTACTACCACTATCCCACATTGAATTTGGTTCTTCTATATTTGAAACATTTTAGATCCAATTCTTTGCCGTCTTTTTCATGGTGGTGAAAGGGTGTCTCAGCGTAGTTATTGCTCAGCCTTTCCCCCAACCTCTGCCTAGATACACACTACAGCTTTTATGATTCTTTATAGCCCTGTACCATTTGAAGTTATCTTACATCATCATTAGTACTATTATTCTTTTGGGTTTTTATGACAAGATTTCTTTGTGTAGCCCTGTGTAGGCGGAGGCTGCTTGTTTGTCCCAGCTGCCCAGAACGAAAATAATCACACAGAAACTGTATTAATTAAATCACTGCTTGGCCCATTAGCTCTAGCTTCTTATTGGCTAACTCTTACATCTTAATTTAACCCATTTCTATTAGTCTGTATATCACCACGAAGTCATGACCTACCAGCAAAGTTTCAGCACATCTATCTCAGACAGCAGATCCATGGCATCCCCTGATTCTGTCCTTCTTTCTCCCAGCATTCAGTCCCCATCTTCTCTGCCTACCTAAGTTCTGCCCTATCAACAGGCCAAGGCAGTTTCTTTATTCATTAATGGTAATCACAACACACAGAGGGGACTCCCACATCAGCCCTGGTTTCCTAGAACTCTATAGACCAGTCTGGCCTTGGATTCAAATCTGCCTGCTTTTGCCTTCTGAGTGCTGGATTTCAAGGATTAAAGGTGTGGACCAACCAACACAGCCCACTGTCTTAACATTCATTAGCTGCCCTGTTGTTGATCTCACATATGACAGCTCTTAAGTAGTGCCTGACATATGTAGAAAATGGTCATCAGCAGGTGTTGTGACTGTTTATAATCCCAGCCCTTAAGAGGCTAAGGCAAGAGTATCTGGAGACCAAGGCCAGTTTGGGCTACATGAGATCTAGGCCAGCCTGGTCTCTGTATCAAGACCCTTTTCCCAAAAAAACTAAGACAAAAATGGTCAACAGTACCTAATGAATAAATACATTAGTCAAACAGGGATCTTAAAACAGTATAACGAGCTAGGCTGTGGTGGCTCACGCCTTTAGTCCCAGCATTCTGGAGGCAGAGGCAGGCAGATCTCTGAGTTTGAGGCTAGCCTGGTCTACAAAGCAAGTTCTGGGACTGCCAGGACTGTTTCACAGAGAAATCCTGTCTCAAGAAACCAAAAAAAACAAACAACAAAACCAGTTTAATGAGTAAGAAACAACTCCTAGTTCTCATAAAGGTAATGTATTTTATTAAATCTAGGGACTGAACCTCAGGCCTTACATACTAAGTATATTCTAAACCATTGAGCTCTGTGCCCAGGTGCTGAGTGTATGTGTGTGTGTTGACAGTTGGAACTTACAGGTTTCTCCTCTTGCTACTCTCTTCCCAAGTGCTGGAATTACAGGCATGAGCTGCCATGCCTGGCCTGAAATGGTGCATTTTATACTAAAAAGTTAATGGGGCTAGAAGACCTTAGTAAAATCAACCATCTCTCGACTGGTTGGAGTCTATGTCTTCTGTAAGGTCTAGATTTGTGGGACACAGCCTGAGCTGGCCAGGTTCCCAGATTTCTCAGTGTCTTGTTCCTTGGTCACTGAGACCTTAAGATAGATTTATCTTCCTCCCTATCACTAGACACAATCTGTGGCTTGGTGTAGGATTTGCTCAGTGCAAAATGAAAGATAGGCAACCACTGCCGTCTCTGCGCAGACTGTCCATCTCTAGCCTTAGACTGGCTGAAAATAACCTCCCACTTGTTATCTGAGCACTTGCAGACCCAGTGTGGAACATTAATGGCCCTTAGTAACCTCCAGGACTTCTGGTGATGTAGCTGTTGGAGACTTATGTATGTCATGTGAGCACTATGAAATATACTTATCCAGTCCATCCTGAGCTACTTTAATCAATGATTAAGTTTAGGGGAGCCTCCAGATAATTCTGTGGTATTAACAAGGGAAAGTGCTGTGAAAATACCAACATACTTCCATTCCTAGAGATAGAGACCAGGGTCAACCAACCCCAGTGGGCAGTTTGACCTACAGACTGTTCTTAAGGGTTTCCTTTCCTGGTGCTTAAACCTGTATGCCAACTCCTCTGATTCTAGACCTTTTTTTTTTTCTTTTAAGACAGGGTTTCCTTGTAGCTTTAGAGTCTATCCTGGAACTCGCTCTTGTAGACCAGGCTGGCCTCGAACTCACAGAGATCTGCCTGCCTTTGCCTCCCAAGTGCACCGTCACTGCCCAGCTCTGTTCATGGTTTCAGAACAGCAGAAGCTGTAGTGTTAGTTGGTTTTTTAAATTTTATTTATGTTTTATGTATGTGTATTCAGCATGCCAGAGAGGGCATCAGATCCTATTATAGATGGTTGTAGCCACCATGTGGGTGCTGGAAATTGAACTCAGCACCTCTGGAAGAGCAGCCAGTGCTCTTAACCACTGAGCCACTTTTCCAGCCCCTGATTTTGTTTTTTGAGACAGGGTCTCACTGTATCTCTGGCTGGACTGACACATGCTACATATATCTATCTGGCTGGCATCAAACTCACAGAGTTCCATCTACTTTATCCTCCCGAGTGCTGGGATTAAAGTCATGCTGCACCACACCTTTTTGTTTGTTTTTCTTTTATTTTTATTATGTACATTTGTTTATGGGTGTTTTGCCTGCATGAGTGTCTGTGCACTGTGTGCATGCAGTACCCACAGAAGCCAGAAGAGGGCATTGGAGCCCCTGGAACTGCAGTTACAATTTGGCTGGTTGGTTTTGTTGTTTTTTTGTTTGTTTGAGACAGGGTTTCTCTGGAACTAGCTCTCATAGACCAGGCTGGCCTCAGAGATCCACCTGCCTTTGCTTCCCAAGTGCTGATATTAAAGGCATGTGCCACCACTGCCTAGTCATTATGGTTAGTTTTTTTCTAGCTCCCATGTGGGTCCTGGGATGTAATCCTAGCTCTGTGGAAGAGTTGCCTGTACCCTTAACCTCTTAGCCATTTTCCCAGCTTTCCACTCTTCTGTTAAGCTGTGTTTTTTAAATATGCTGATCAGTAGAGATTTCATGTCTCAAATTGTCTTCATTTACCACTAACATTCTGAATTGCTGAACTGGGAAGAAAGTGCACCCGTGATGGGAAGGCTTGGGGGTTCTAGTTGGACACTGTCAGAAGACTAGTTTCATTCTGGGCAGTTCATTAAGTATCTCTGTACAGAACCACTAATATCTCCCCCCAATACAAAGTTTTTCTCAATTGAATTAGAACCTAACCATTGGGTGCTGGCTCAGGTGACACACTGGATGAAGAGTGTGAAGTTCTCATCCTAAGGAAGGGTCACTAGTGTGTAGTTGCATATAGGTCAACAAAAATATTTGCTGACACAGGCTTAACCTGGTTGGGCTTAGGGGCTTACAGCAGGCAGAGGCAGAGGCAAGTGGATATCTGAAAGTTAGAGACCAGCTTGGTCTAAGTAGTGAGCTTCAGGTAAGCAAGGACCATGTAATAGTGTCCCAACCCCCGGGGGGGGGGGGAGAAGGTGTGTGTGTCTGTGTGTGTGTCTAAATTCTGGTTCTTCACTAAGATTTCCAGGCAAAGGCCCTCAAAGTTTAATACTATTCCCTATAGCTTTTGGAACTTCATGTTACAGGCCAGATATTTTCCTTACTCTTTTTTTTCGAAACAGTCTCATACTGGCCTCAAACTCCTGCCTTCACCTCCTGAAGTGTTAGGTCACAGGCATATGCACCACACTGGTTTGTAAGATGCAGAAGATCAAAACCACGGCTTTGTTCTCTCTCTCTCTCTCTCTCTTCTCTCTCTCTTGGTTTTTTGAGACAAGGTTTCTCTGTAGCTTTGGAACCCGCCCTGGAACTAGCTCTTGTAGACCTGGCTGGCCTCAAACTCACAGAATCTGCCTGTCTCTCCCTCCCAAGTGCTGGGATTAAAAGGCCTGTGCCACCATGGCCCGGCAAACCCACGGTTTTGTGCATGCTACACAAACTACCAATAGACTTACATCACCAGCCTCTCCTTGTTTTTATTCCCAATGTTCACAGTTTTACTTCACATTTGAGCGATCACCCGGAGAGCCCAAGAGCAAGTATTATGATTTATGTGCGCTTAACCTTTATTCAATTGCCGTCTGATTCTCTAGTTAAGAAATGCAGGTAAGGGCGGTCGGACGCAAAATGAGGCTCTCAGATATCGGGATACATCTGGTTTTGAAGTTCATCTCTATACACACAAAGTTTTTTAATCCCTCTTCCTCCCAAGTCTCTGAACCGGCAAAATACTCCACCGGCCATCTTGGTTGTGGCAGCCTGAATTCATTTTTTTTCTTTTCCACGATGACAATTAAGAAATGAGACCACAGTTGCCCCTACCCAGGTTTCCTAAGCAGCCCCAGCAGCTCCTCCGGGAAGGAAAACCACTTTCCCGCCAGCCGGGTCCAGGGCGTGGGCCTTTCTCTGGGCATCCTCCGCCCTTACCGTGCCGTGGGCTCTACCGCCTGCTGGGGAGGAGCCACGCCAACTCACGCCCGCGGCCCCGCCCCCTCATTTAAATACACGTCGCCGGCGGGTGCGTCGAGCTCGCCGCGAACCCAAGATGGCGGTGTGTGGACGTGTACGGAGGATGTTTGGCTTGTCGGCGGCGTTGCCGCTGTTGCTGCTAGCTGCAGCCGGGGCCCAGAACGGGCACAGCCAGGGCCAGGGTATGGGGCCCAACTTGGCATCTTTTCTAGGGCAAACTGGAGGCGGCAGCCCGGCAGGGCAGCAGCAGCCTCAGCTGTCTCAGTTATCGCAACAGCAGCCCCAGCCGCCTCAGCAGCAGCAGCAGCAGCAGCAGCCTCCGTTCCCGGCGGGCGGGCCCCCGGCCCGGCGGGGCGGAGCGGGGCCCGGTGGGACTGGCGGAGGCTGGAAGCTGGCGGAGGAAGAGTCCTGCAGGGAAGACGTGACTCGTGTGTGCCCCAAACACACCTGGAGCAACAACCTGGCGGTGCTCGAGTGCCTGCAGGACGTGCGGGAGGTGAGAAGGTGGGACGGGCCTGGGAGGAGGGCCGAGCCTGGTGTGGGCCGGAGGGTGTCGCCGGCCTGGAAGCCGCGGACGCCGGGCTGCAGCTTCCCTCGCTCTTTTTCCTTCGGGGCTGTGCTCGCGCCTCTGCCTCTGCTGCCCCTCACTCCCGGGTGCCTTCGGTCGGGCAAGTGGATCCTACCGCTGCTCCTTCTTTCCCTGAGCCCTTATTTCGCTCCCTGTCGCGGTGTTCTGCGATCGAGACCTGGGCTCACGGCCTCGGCAGGCGAAGGCCTAGGAGCGTGTTTCTTTCTGTTTGCGCTCCTGTCTTTTGTGTGATGCTCTATGCAGAGTGGCTTCTTGCCGAAAAGCAGGGTAGGATTTTCCTGTCACTTTCGACCTCGGCAGTTTGTAGCAGTGCATTTCAGCATGAAAGATGGTCGGCGTATTTAAACTGTTAAAAGATAGATCTGCTCTTTATTTAGCAGTAGATACTTGATTAGGTAACCTGGGTTCTTTTCCAGTGTGTGTGTAGTCAAGCGCTGAATTTACTGTTTTTACCACATTTCTTTGTAATTGGTAAATTCTTATTTACCTGGTGCTGAAACTATAATTTTTTTTTGTTCTCACTTCCTGTGGTCAGTTTGTAAAGAACCTCATTTTTAGGCTATTCCTTCATGTCGCTTGGAACCCTAAAGCCTGAGAAAGTTGCAGGCATCATTTGAAGCTATAATAAATATTCAGTGTTTCTGATTGCGTTGTGGGGCCTTTCCGAAGTCTAAGTATAGTTGTTTTTGAGACATCTGCTGTGTTGCCCAGGCTGGCTGCCTACTGGAGGCATCTTCCCCTGACTGAACATCTTCACCTGGTTTGAACAATTTTTAACTACCTATTAATGAGCTCCAGATCTGTTATTGCTTGGTGTGTTTCAGTAAAGGACATTGATAACTTCTTTTCTAATTATGGAGCTGCAGACATGAGTGCATATTGGTAGAAATACTTTCTTCCAGTGTTTAGATAAATAGAATTAGTCCCAAAGGTTGACAGGTAGAAGCTGCTGTGAATCATTTCGTTTGGAATAGTGTATCTTTGGGATTGTTCAAGCCCATGACACCACCAGTGGTTTGTAGACATTTGCTAGTCTTGCTTTATTTAGTATTATATACCTTCTGGATGGTGTACCTATTTGTTTAATCCTGGCACTTGAGAGACAGAGGGTGACAGATCGTTTTCTGAGTTTGAGGTTAGTGTGGTACAAATGGAGAGTTCCAAGTCAGCAGGGCAACGTTAAGACTGTTTACAAAACAGAAAGGTAAGTCAGAAGAGGAAAAGACATACAAATTAAGAGCCAAAGAGTTACCAGACCCACCGAAGATGTGGGTCTTATATGGTTCTTAGATGTAGCTTGAAGATTAAAAGCAAAAAGAAATTATCTATCTATCTATCTATCTGTCTATCTATTTATCTATCTATGTATCTAGTTTTTCAAGGCAGGGTTTCTCTGTAGCTTTGGCTGTCGAGGATCACCTTGCTCTGTAGACCAAGCCGGCCTCGAACTTTGCCTGCCTCTGCCACTGGAGTGCTGGAATTAAAGACATTTGCCACTACAGCTCAGCTATAGCCAAAATCTTAACTCTGTCAAACTTTTTGGAATTTTCTATTTGATTTTTAGGATACTTAATAGATGTTGTTCCCTTAAGCTAAGATCCTAATATTGGTCACGTTGTTACTGGATTGTTATAGAAATAGGTTATTATGAGGGGAAAGTAGCAAAAAATGCCGAACTGTGGAACCTTCCCCAAACAGGAGCACTGGACAATCTTCTGTCACTGTACGTAAAAGCATGTAGAGGCACATGAGAGTCTTTGGGGTCTTTAACTTAGTGATATTTTTTTTTCTTTTTCTTTCTTTTTTTTTTTTTTTTTTTGTTTTCGAGACAGGGTTTTTCTGTAGCTTTAGAGCCTGTCCTGGAACTAACTCTTGTAGACCAGACCAGGCTGACCTCGAATTTACAGAGATCCACCTGCCTCTGCCTCCCAAGTGCTGGGATTAAAGGCTTGCACCACCACTACCCGGCTTTTTTCTCTTAGATTAGTTTGGATAACGAAAATTACACTGGTCTGAAAATGTAATCACTGGTTTACACTGATTTTTTTAGATTCCCATTTCCCAGTAAGGCTGTTTCAGTAAAATCATTTTTTCTTCTGTCAGGATAAACTCCGATGGCTGGTAACTACATTTCATGTTGTCTTTGTGATGTTCCAGACTACCTACTTCAGTGCTGGAACACAGAAAATATTGTTAGCTGGCAGAGCATGACTAAATTGATGGATGTGATGTTGTGTTCAGAGGAAGGGAGTGTTATGTAAATTGGAGTCCCCCTATTTGAGAGGAAGAAGCCAAGTTTTTAATATAAATGATGGACATCACTTGCTGAGCAGAGCATGCTACCATGGATCTACGACATCCCTTATTTCTGATGTTCGTTTGTTTTGTTTTGTTTTGTTTTTTTCCCAAGACAAGAATCTTTTTTGTTTGTTTGTTTTGTTTGTTTGTTTTTCGAGACAGGGTTTCTCTGCAGCTTTGGAGCCTGTCCTGGAACCAGCTCTTGTAGACCAGGCTGGCCTCAAACTCACAGAGATCCACCTGCCTTTTCCTCCACGAGTGCTAGGATTAAAGGCATGTGCCACCACTGCTGGGCTCCAAGACAGGAATCTTACATGGTTCTCATGGCTTGAAGACTAGAAGTCCTGGACTCACTTTGTAGTTCAAGCTGTCTTCAAACTCAAGAGATCTGTCTGCCTCTGCTGTCTGAGTGCTGGGATTAAAGGCGTGCGCCACAAGACAGAGTCTCCACAATTCTCACTCTGCAGACCTAGCTGGTCTTGAACTCTTTTGGTTTTTTGAGACAGGGTTTCTCTGTGTAATGGTCCTGACTGGCCTCGAACTCATAGAGATGTGCCTGCCTCTGCCTCTCGAGTGCTGGGATTAAAAGTGTGCGCCACCACTGCCCATCTTGAGACTGATATTTTAAAGTGTACTCCAGATGTCATTTTATTTATAAGTCTCAGGATTACAAACATTTTCCTTTTTGAGACAGGATCTTCTTGTGTTGCCCTGGCTGGCCTGGAACTCATTTAATCAGGCTAATTTTGAATTCAGAGAGTGCTAGGATTAAGTAGCCACCACCCCTGGCTATTTAAAGCCCCTTTCAGACTCAGTAGGTGAGCATTTTTGTTAATTGTTGCAGTATTATGGATTGAATACCAGAGCATTTTATTTGCCAGGCACAAACCCTACCACTGTACATTTCTGGCACTTGTTTTACTTTCTCTTTCTAATTTTGAGGCTGTCCTAGAACTCACATTTTACAGCCCTAGTTAGTCTTGAATTTACTTTATCGGCCTGAAACTCCAGACCTAGATGTTAAACTGATTTGTTTGTTGCTGTTGTTTGATTTGATGGGGGTTGAGACAGGGTTTCTCTGTAGCCCTGACTGTCCTGGAACTCACTCTGTAGACCAGGCTGGCCTCAAACTCACAGAGATCCGCTGCCTCTGCCTCAAAGTACTGGGATTAAAGACGCGTGCCACCATGCCTGGCCTGTTAAATTGTTCTTAATCATTCACTTGACTGTATACCTAGATCACACTATCTTTATCTAATTAATATTCTTGGTAGTCCTGTGCGGTGGGTAGTGTTATTTTGTTGTCTTAATTGAGAAATAGGCTGCAACAAGTAGTGTTGTCTTGTCAGGGGTGAAGCTGATGTTTAGCAAGTCCTCTGACCAAAAGACCATATAGTTTACAATTCATGCTAGTGTTTGCAGCTAGGGAAATTAGTATGGAACTGTTGAAGATGCTGCATGTGTTTCAATAGATAGAAAATAGGAAGGGTCATCTAGTACAAGAATCTTTCCTTTGCTATCAAAAACAACTGAGGAGCAGCAGCTTTTGTTCACTGAAATAGTATTGACTTCACAGGCAGACAGACCAGCAATATCAGATAATGTTAATTTAAGTACTGGTCTGGGGGCTGGAGAGATGGATCAGTAGTTGAAAGCAGTGGCTGTTCTTCCCACGGAGCAGGGTTCAATTCCCAGCACCCATATGGCAGCTTACAACTGTCTGTAACTCCAGTTCAAGGGAATCTGACACCTTTACACAGACATATGTGCAGACAAAACAGCAGTCACTGCTCATAAAATAAAATAAATAAATTATTTTTAAAAACATTTAAAAAATAATTACTGGTCTGGATCTATCATGAAGAGAATTTCTGTAATGAAGTGAATCTAAAATCCCAGTTCACATGAGCCCGGATTTTTTATTACCAAACTAGAATTAGTTATATTTTCCTGCTATTTGAACTGGCTCCATGAACAGCACAGAAAGTCGTTGGACCTTTGGCCAGTACCGCCATAGCGGGGCGGGGGTGGCGCATGCCTTTATCCCAGCACTCAGGAGGTAAAAGCAGGCAGAGTTCTAGGACAGCCAGGGCACCACAGAGGAACCCTGTCTCATAAAACAAAAAAACAACACATAAAATAATAATTTTCCTTTAATCCCAGAATGAGGAAGTGGATATCTGAGTTCAAGGCCAGACTGGTCTGCATGTTGACCTCCTCACCAACTAAGGTTACATAGTAAGACCCTGGCTTGAACCTCCCCTACACCCCAAAATTTATTTTTAATTATGTGTGTCTGTATTTGAATATTTGCACATAAGTGTATGTCTAAGACCAGAGACATTGAATATCCTGGAGATGGAGTTACAGACTGCTGCTAGTCACAGTAAGTAGGTGCTGGGAACTTAACTGGGTTTCTCAGGAAGAGCAATAAAGTGTTCTTGACCAATGAGGCATATCTCCAACACTCATTTTTTTGTTGTTGTTGCTTTGTTTTATTTTGTTATTACGTAGACTTGGCTGACCCAGAACTTTGTGTAGACTAAGATGGCCTAGAATTTGAATAGATACACCTGCCTCTGCTGGGATTGAAGGTGTGCGCTACCATGCTTGTCCTACTTCGTCTCGTTTTATTATTATTTATTCATTTTGTGTTTTCGTGACAGGGTTTCTCTGTGTGGCAGCCCTAGCTGTCCTGGAACTAGCTCTTCTTGTAAACCAGACTGGCCATGAAAGTGCTGGGATAAAAGATGTGTACCGTTACCACCCAGCTTCATTTTTTTTTTTAAGATTTATTTATTACGTATGCATTGGTTAACATTGCTGTAGCAGGTAAGAGCCACCATGCATGAACTGGCTGTGGGCAAGACATATACCACTCTGAGACTTAGTTTCTTTGTGTGTTAAGTGAGTGAGATCAGAAGAGGGCCTTGGATCCCCTAGAACTGGAGCTACAGGTAGTTCTCAGTAGTAATGTAGGTGTAGGAACTGAGTCAGCCTCTTTGCAAAAGCAGCCAGCAATGCTAACCATATCAAACTCGCTTTTTAGACCAGGCTAGCCTTGAACTCAGAGATCTGTCTGCATCTGCCTCCTGAGTGTTGGAACTAAAGGTGTGCATCATCACCACCCCACTGAAGATATTTCTAACTAATGTAGTTGTTTACTTTATTCTGGGTAGTCATATATTGTATGGTTTTTAGGATTTGCATATGTAATTGTCTCCTGATTTCTTGTTCATTCAGAGGAAAATGGTGGTATGAATAATGAAAATAACAATTAATCCAAACGTTGTTTGACTGTAGGATGTAGTAGTTTTTTTTAAGATTATTTGAAATTTCCTCTCATGATAACTCAGTGGTTGGAAGCAATTTAACCACATAATCAAATCATTATTGACCTCCCATTATGTACCTGTCATTGTGGAAAAGCAGTAGAACTTTGAGATATTGCCATTGCTTACAGTTAAATGAGATTGTAAACAAGAAGCAGCTATATAAGAGTATTTAAGGGGCTGGAGAGATGGCTCAGTGATTAAGAGTACTTGCTGCTCTTCCAGAGGACCTGGGTTCAATTCCCAGCACCCACATGGTAGCTCACAACTCTCTGTACCTCCAGTTCCAGGGGATTTGACACCTTCACAGCAATACACACAAATTAAAAGAAAAAGTGTTAATGATATCATAAAAGTACTAATTTTTTTTTTCTTCCTGAGATAGGATTTCTCTTTCAAGACAGACTTTGGAGCCTTTCTTGGTATTTGTTCTGTCGCCTAGGCTGGCTTCGAACTCTCAGAGACCCCGCCTGCCTCTGCCTGTGCTTATCTCTAGTTATCTCTTATATCTATACCTAGTGCTGAGATTAAAGTTGTGTGCCACCTCTGCCCCGTGATACTAAATTCTTTTAGGGCAGAGAAACAAACACAAAACTATGGTAAAGATTTGGGTGGAAGTATGGATTCAGTCTCCAGTACTGACTGGGAAAAAGAAATATTTTCACCCTTAAGTAAGGACTGTGTTTTTAACTCTGCTTTGAGTGAAGACATACGGGAATTCTTAAGTTTATGTGCGTAGTTATATTATGCTAAATAGGTACAATGTAGTAAAATCCACACTATTACCTTCCTATCAGAAATTGTTCACATACATCAGCAGCTCAAGGGGGGTTTTCCTCAGCCTGCTGCATTTTTTTTGTGCTTTGTCTGCTAACTGGGTTTCTAAATAAAGCCCAGAACTGGAATGTTTTTTTAAATAGTTCTCCTATATAACCAGGCTGATGTTAAAAACTTGAAATCTTGTTGCCTTTGCTTCCTAAATGTTGACAGGGTTTCTCTGTAGCTTTGGAGCCTGTCCTGGAACTCACTCTTTTAGACCAGGCTGACCTCGAACTCACAAAGATCTGCCTGTCTCTGCCTCCTGAGTGTGGGGATTAAAGCCGCCCGGTGGCTTTTTAATTCCAAATTGAGTTAAAAATTCTTCTCCAAATAATTGAGATAAAGATTCTCTTCCAGGGGCTGGAGAGATGGCTCAGCGGTTAAGAGCATTGACTGCTCTTCTAGAGGACCCGGGTTCAATTCCCAGCACCCACATGGCAGCTCACAACTGTCTGAAGATCCAGTTGCAGGGGATCTGACACTTTCACACCAATGCACATAAAATAAAGTTAAATAAACCATAAAAATATTTTAAAAAAAAAAAGATTCTCTTCCAGGAGATAAATACTCCTCCAGATAATGAGGTAAATATTCTCCTTCAGATAATTAAGAGTTACCTGTAGAACAGCACTGACATTTGCAGCAAGTCCTGAAGAAGTCTCTTGTTGAGAATGCTCTATAGCATATAGTTGTTAATAATTTATTCTGTAGAAGGGAATAATATACTTGAATAGTTCAAAAGAGGAATTTCTACATTTATATTGTGTTCAAGACAAATGTAAGCAGCAATAATAGTAAAAAAGCTCAAACGCTCAAGATGATGTCTTAAGAAGCTATTAAAATGGCTTTTCGGTAATTTATTTTTTTATCTGTCAGCAAATATTTACCGAATCCCGTGTCCAAGACATTGCTCAGTGTTAGTAATAGAGATATTGATAATAACACTTATTGTTTCTCTTTTTGGTTTCGACACAGGGTTTCTCTGTGTAGCTCTGACTGTCCTAGAACTAGCTCTGTAGACTAGGCTGACCTAGAACTCAGAGACCCATTTACCACGCATCATTGCCTGACTGGGGAGGGGCGGAATTCTGAGGTAGAGTCTCAGTCTGTGTTGCCACAAACTGGCCTTGAACTCAAAGCTATTCCTCAGCCTTCTCAGTTCCTCTCTTAGGATTATAAGGAGCCTTCATGCTTAACTATTTGTTTTGTTTTTTTTTTTTTAGCCCAGGTTGCTCTAAACTGGGAGTTGCCCTAGAGCTCCCTTTGCCCTAAGAGCATGATCTCAAATTCCCAGTCTTCCTGCCACCACCATCAACAGTTACTGGGACTGGTGTGTGACACAAGCCCAGTTTTACTATTTTTATTTTTAAATGAGGGAAACAAGATCAGTAATTTGCCTCAAATAAATCTGTAAATTGTAAGGTATCTTACTCTTTCTCTTCCTACATCATTTATACTTAAGGACTGTTATTATTTGGGCTGTAATCAGAAGCAAGCTGTAGATGTTAAACAGTGGATTCTTATCAACCTTGAATTACTCTAGGTAACGCATACATTTGATTTAGAAGATAGTGCAATTTTTTTCCGTTTTTATCTTGATTATCTGTTTAATAATAAGTTATATGTATTGAATTAATTAAAATGTATTATTAAAACCAGCTACTTTTTCCCAGGTGTAGTGGTGGTACATCTGTAATCTCAGTACAAAGATTGTTGTAGTTTCTAGGCCAACTTGCACTACAGTACCCCTATCTCACACCCCTTCCTCCTCCAGTGAAAATGCCTCCTAATTTTGTTAATGGAAAAATCAGATCTTCAACTTAACTTCTTTTATTGGCTATAAGGGATGTTTTAGCTTCATCCAGAGGAATAATGTTCCAATAAAACTGAAATCAGTCAGTGACTCATCTTTATTAGGGTGGTTAGATGAATTTGAAACTCAAGAATCTCAAGCCATCCTGGTCTACAAAGAGAATTGTAGGACACAGAGAAACTCTGTCTTGAAAAACCAAGAAAAAGAAAGAAAAAAAAAAAGAATCTCAAAGTAACATCCCTCAGAACTGGATTACTAATAATCTTTGTATCTGCATTAAAATAGTGTGGAGGAGCAAGAAGTGTGGACTGGAATCTAAAAACAATAAATAAAGGAAAAGAGCCAGACTTCTATTTTCATTCATTATGAATCAAATACCAGAAGATTGAGTACTGGAGATGTGTATGAGTGTTCTGCTTGCCTACATGTCTCTATACTACTACTGTGAGAGTACCTATTAGTAAGAAAGCCAGAAGAGGACATCAGATCTCCCAGATTGGAGTTACAGACAGTTGTAAACTGTCATGTGGGTGCTGAGCTTCAAATTCAGATCCTCTGGAAGAGAAGCCAGTGTGCTCTTAACCACTGAGCCATTTCTTTAGCCCTTATGTAGAGTACTTGCTTAACAAAAAGCCTTGTGTTTGACCCTATCACCACATAATAAACTAGACATATACCAGCACTTGGAAGAGGGAAGCAGGAGGATCAGAAGAAGTTCAAGGTTAGCTGGGTAGAGTGATAAGTGCCTTTAACCCCAGCACTTAGCTTTGCTGGGTAGTGTAGTACATGCCTTTAACCCAGCACTTGGGAAGCAAAGGCAGGAGGTTCTGAGTTCAAGGATAGCCAGAGAACCTGTTGCAAACGAACAAAAGAAGTTTAAGGCCATCAAACCATTAGATTGAATTTGTGGCATTTATAGTGCCTGTGACTACCTGAACAAGACTGTATTTTTCTTGAGACGGGGGTTTCTCTGTGTAACAGCTGTAGCTGTTCTTTAATTTGATTTGTAGACTAGGCTGGCATTGAACTCACAGAGACTCACTTGCCTCTGCTTCTGTCTTCCCAAGTGCTGGGATTAAAGGCGTGTGCCACTACCACCCAGCAAATAAGCAAATCTTAAAACAATAATAAATTTGGGAGCTAGTGAGCTTACTAAGAGACCTGGCTTTCTGTACAGATATAAGAACCTCATTTCAGATCTGTAGCACCCACATTTAAAAGCAAAACAAAACCAAAAAAGTGTGACATGGAACAGAATCCCCAATGTTCTTGTACTGGTCATTAGGTTTATGGTGTCATAGCATAGCATGAAGCACACAGTTTCAAGGATGAAGAAAAAAGATGTACTGGGAATTTGGAGTTTTCTATGTGGTTTATATGGTTTTTGAGACTGGGTCTTTCTATGTATCCCAAACTATCCTTAAACTATGTAGCCTAGGCTGGCTCTACCTCAAATCTTCCCAAATACTGAGAGGACAGGGTGTGCCACTCCACCTGACTCAGGGGAGTTCTAATAACAAGCGAGGTCTGTCACATGTTGATATAATTACTGAGCATACATCTATTATACATGAAATAAAAATCAGAAGAGTTAAGGTTTTATTGACATGTGGACCTGAAGACATGAGGAGCAGTAATATGAGGAAAACAGAATGGGCTTTGGAGTCAGTCTTGGATCAGCTCACATCACCATGATTTTAGAGCAGTCAAATCTCTTCCCATCCCTCATCCGCCTTTTGAGACAGTGTTTCCTGTAACACCAGCTGGCCCGGAACTCACAGAGGTCTGCCTGCCTCTTTCTCCAGAGTGCTGGGATTAAAGGCAGGGATCATGCCTGGCCGTTTTGTTTTTTGAGGCAGATTACCACTACATATAGTTCATGCTGACTTCAAAGTCCTGATTTTTGAAGTTTTCCTGCCTTAAACTGATGTTGGTGAATTTATTGCCATGCATTACTGTGTTGGGCTTCCCCACCTTCTTTATAATCCTCCTAAGGGTCCATCAAGAACATTTCAGAGTACACTTCTATAAGCATGCACTTGGGATGGGTGTCTGTGTGTAGGAAGATCATCTGTAGTCTTCTATATCTAGGCATAGCAAGATCTAATAAGATCTTCAAAGAAAAAAACAAATAAAGCTAGGGCTAGGGATATAGCTCAGTGGCAGTGTTTGCTCAGCATGCTTGGGGCCTTGGGTTTGATTCTTAACACCATTAAAAGAGTGATGAGTGGGGTGAAAACTTGTGTTTTCCTTTCCTTTATTCCCTGCCGCCCACCACTACAGGGTCCACTCTGTAGAACTAGCTGTCCTGGGACTCAGAGAGATCCTCTGCCTTTGCTTCTGCCCTAGCCTTGAGCACTAAAGATTAAAGTGTATACCACTCTGCCTGCTGCCTACCTCTGTTTTCTTTTTCTCTGCAATCTTTCTTGTAGTCCAGACTGGGGTTTCTCTGTATAGCTCTGGCTGTCCTAGAACTCGCTTTGTAGAGCAAGTTGGCCTCGAACTCACAGAGATCTGCTTCCTAAGTGCTGGGATTAAAAGCTTGTGCCACCACCACCATCTCACTCAAAACTCCATTCTTATAAGAAGGTAAAAATAGTTGTGTTTTGAAGATGGCACTACTTAAAACAGATATGACCTTTGTAGAATGGAATGACTAAACATAAAGCTATTTATCTGCTCAAACAGAAAGCATTGGCTGTATTGTTTACTTGTATAAGTTAAGGTAAGTATAAAAGTTATTGGAAGTTTCCAGAAAGTTAGTGATTCTCTTTTTTTCCCCCCATAACTAACTTTTTTTTTTAAATTTTAAAGTTAGTGATTATCAGAGGGAAAGTATTGTGAAAACGTGGGCTCTTCTGTTGCTAAGGTTGGAACATTTCTTTGGCTTACAAAATACTCAGTAACTGCTGGTTCAAGTGGCTCATGCCTTTAATCCCAGCAGAGCAGTGGATCCTGTGAACTTGAGGCTAGCGTGGTCTACATAGTGAGATTCTGTCTTTAAAAAATAAAGTTGAATTACTCACATTAAGACTGATTAGGAGGGGCTTAAAAGATGGCTCAGAGGTAAGAGCACTGGCTGCTTCCAGAGATCCTGAGTTCTGTTCCCAGCAACCATATGGTGGCCCAGTCATCTATAATGATATCTGGTACCCTTTTCTGGTGTACAGTCATACATGGAGGCAGAATGTTGCATACTAAATAAATAAATAAATGTTTTTGGTTTTTTAAAAGACTGGTAAGGAGTTGGAGAGAAAGTTCAACAATTAAGAGCCCTGACTACTTTTCCAGAGGATCTGGGTTCAATTCCTAGGAATAACATGGCAGCTCACAACTGTCTGTCCCAGTGATCTGACATCTCTTCTGGCCTCTGTGGGTTGCAGTTATGCTTATAGTGTACTGTACAGATATTCATGCAGGCAAAACTCTCATACACATAAAACTTTGATAGTGCTGGTGATGTCATTGCTTGCTAGGGGAGTACTCTACCACTGAACTATCTCACTTAGCCCCCCCTTTTTTTTAGATTTATTTATTGTGTATACAATGCAGTGTGCTGCCTCCATGTATGACTGCATGCCAGAAGAGGGCACCAGATCTCATTGTAGATGGTTGTTAGCCACCATGTGGTTGCTGGGAATTGAACTCAGGACCTCTGGAAGAACAGTCAGCATTCTTAACCTCTCCAGCCCTCACTTAGCCCTTTTTATGTTTTACTTTGAAACAGGGTCTCACTTAGTTTATCAGGTGAGCCTTGAATTTGTAATCCTCCTGTCTGAACCTCCCAAATTCTAGAATTATAGAGCTATGCCACTAGGCCTAGTATTTTTCTTTTTCTTGTTTTTTAAAGGGACAAAGAAGGGTTCTCACTGTGTAGCCCAGGCTAGCATTGAACTCTTGAGCAGTACCATACTGAAGTGAAAGATTTTTTAAAAACAATTATTTTGTTTGTGGATTTTTTTTTTTTTGAGACAGGGTCTTACTCTAGCCCAGGCTGGCCTTGAACTCTGTGTGCTTCTAGTACCTCGCCTTCTTGTGTGTTGTGAGATTATTGGCTTGAGCCATCACATCATCTTGGCTTTTTAAAATCACTATAAGAAACTGCAAAGACAGTGTTTTTAATTTTGATTTTCAACTTAAAAGTATTCTGAGATAGAAATTAGGACGGAGAATGTTGATGTAGTTCCCTTTCTTTTAAGTGTTAGGGGTGGGGGAATTCACATTCATTAGCCTGATTTCTCAGCCAACCTTCCTGCCTTACTTTGCACTGGTTCCATACACATCTTACTGTCCTCATCTGAGAATGCATGGTATGATGTGGATTTCTGGAGAGTACAGAACTACAATTTTGAGTTTCCATGGTTTATATGATTTTGTAGTACATGCTAGATAGACATGTACTGTGGTAGTAATTGGAAAGGGTTTTGTTATTTCCTTTATATATGTAGTTCAAGTTTTTGTTTCTTTTTCTGTGTTTTTGTTTTTATTTTGTTTGAGACTAGGTCTCACTATGCAGCCCTGGTGGGCCTGGTACTTTATATAGAACAGTGTTCATCAAGATCCACCTGCCCATTTAATAAAATTACTTTAAAAAAAAATCCACCTGCCCCTGTTTCACAAGTCCTGGCATTAAAGGTTCACACCACCTTTGTCTCAGTGTTTTGTTTTGTTTTTTTTTTTTTTTTTGAGACAGTTCTAAAATGTAGCCCAGACCGACCTCAACCTCCCTCCTAAGTATACTGGGGTTACAGTGCCATGTTATTGATTTATTTAAAACTTAGTATTTTTCTAACTACCTCTTCCCCAAATATTTCTTTATTTTGGTCAAACATTAATACTTAGTTTATGAAACTCTTATCTCATCTATCACAGTTAATAACCAAAATTGACAGATATGTGAGGTACCAGCCTTATTTTACCATTAATAAAACAAGATGTGGTGTATACCTTCCACTCCAGCTATGTGGTAGGCTAAGATGGGAGGATTACTTGAGTCTAGAAGCTGGAGGTAAACTTGCTTCATCTAAAAAAAAAAAAATCAATGTAACAAGTCAGGCAAGCCCCTCAATCAGACTGTGATTTGCCCAAGATTTTGTAGACGGAGACTGTTCATTCGTTTTCTGGCCACCCAGACCCAAATAATTACACAGAAACTATATTAATTATAACACTGTTTGACCAATAGCTTATGTATATTTCTATTTAACTCTTACATCTTAAATTAGCCCATTTCTATTAATCTGTGAATCACAATGAAGCCGTGGCTTACTGTAAGGTTATGGCTGGCGGCTGGTATCTTTCTCCTTTGGCAGCTACGGGGCCTCTCCCTGACTCCACCTACTTTCTCTCAGTATGTATTCTGGATTTCCTGCCTGGCTTTACTAAGCCATTGGCTGAAACAACTTTAATAACCAATGGTAATAAAACATATTCATAGCATTGGGGAGGCCCAAAAATTGAAGCCTATTTCCACCTTGACCAAAGGTCAGAGAGTTGGAACTTACCTCGATTCCTTCAAGGTTATTGTGTTTCTACCTCAAAGGTCCCACCTAGATTTAGACCAGAGAGTTTTTTATGCTCTCTCAGGGTTTTTGTCAACAGGTGTGGCTAATATACAGACCTTGTATTTCAGGAATAGAGACGTAGGCATGTTTTTCCCTCAAACAGAAGTCTAAGGATCCAACTAAGGTTCCAGTTTTCTTAAGGAGATGACATTCCACCCAGAGTGGAATGTTTTGGTCTAGCAACAGAATGTTTTAACTGGATGTAGCCTGCAACATTCAACTGGTCTGTTCATTTACTTGTATCATGTTAATACAGTTTTTTAAATCTTACTCTTACACCTTGAGATTGGGATATTTTAAGTACTGGAACTCCCTTCGGTGCTATTCTATGGTTTCTGTTTTATTATTTTTAAACGCGTTTTCTTACTCTTATATTCCTAATCCCCACATCCCTACCCTGGCAAGTGGTATTTTTTGTCAGGGCTGGTCCTCGACACCCAGTCCCATAGTATTATGAGAGCTTCGATGGCAACCCCAAAGTCAAAGCACCTGTCTTTCCATGTTACTATGTCACTTTCTAGATTGCTTTCACAGATATTGTAATGTATTTGGTTTGTGTTTTGATAATCCGTTCCAGTTTTTTATTTAATCAAAATTTGAATACTTACTGGGAGCCCATATTTTTATAGTTTTTCTGTTCTTTTTGTTTTGTTTTTGGTTTTTTTTGTTTGTTTGTTCTTTTTTGTTTTGTTTTGTTTTTTGTTTTTCGAGACAGGGTTTGTCTGTAGCTTGGAGCCTGTCCTGGAACTAGCTCTTGTAGATCAGGCTGGCCTCGAACTCAAAAAGATCCACCTACCTCTGCCTCCTGAGTGCTGGAATTAAAGGCGTGTGCCACCATCGCCCGGCAGTTTTTCTGTTCTTTTTCCATTCCTGAACTCTGGTCACATCTAAGTTAATGATGATGTCTTATAGGTGACAGGGCCCTGTCCTGAACATACATACTCCATTATGCTTTATTTTCTTGATATATTTAACTTGGGGTTATTATTGTGGCTCTGTCTTCATGTTCATGGTTCTTTTTATGGATCATGTTTCAGTCTGCTATTAATAATACCATCCAATAGTTTTGTTTGTATCAAGTTCTTATAAAGCCCAGGTTTGCCTTGAGCTTAATATGTAGACCAAGCTGGCATTGAACTCAAGACATCTACCTGCCTCTGTCTCTGTCTCTCAAGTGATGGAATTAAAGATAGTCACCACCATGTCTTATTTTCTTTTTTACTTTAGGGATCTGTTTCATATGTAGAAGTTTGATTTGATCACTTAAAAATAGATTTCATTCCTTTTTTGTTACTTTTTAAGTTTTTTTAATATTAAGTATGCTTAATTTTTTCTTTTTTTTTAGTTTTTTTATTTTTATTAAAAAATTACGTGGCCCTGGTTGTTCTGGAACTCTGAGATACACCTGCATTTGCCTGCAGAATGCTGAGATCAGTAGTGGGAACTGCCAGGCTCGACTTCCCTCAGTCTACTTCCATAAATTGTTTTGGGGTACTCATTTCTTTTATTGTTTTTTGGAAACAGAGTCTTTATATAGTGTTTCTCTGTGTAACAAACCTGGCTGTCCTGGAGCTCATTATGTAGACCAGGCTGACATAAATTCACAGACTCACATGGACTCACCTGCCTTTACATCTTGAGTACTGGAATTAAAGGAATGGACCACTGTGGCCAGCTTGGGGTGATCATTTCTTGAGTGTTTCCTGTTGGTCTGTTTTTCTCATCATTGGCCATAGTTCTGTTTCTTTACCTAACAAGTCTGCTGAGTTTTTATTATGCCCAAGGAAATACATACAATATTTACAAATATATACAAATCTATTGTGGGTTTTTGTTTTGTTTTGTTTTTGCTTTTTAACCAGTTCTCTGTTCTTTATTTGTTGACTATTATTGCAAGTTCTATCCAGTTTACATCTTCTGAGTGTTGAGTTCCCTCTATTACTGAGCAAGAAAATTAGATTCTGTTTGAGTTCCTGCTCAGGGATCAGAGTTTCAATATTGAACAGTATGTTTGTTTTTTTGTCTAATTAACAGTATGTTTAAGGAGAGCATTGCTATGGTAGTTAATCTTTAATAACTTAAGGGCATAGAAAGAGCAAAAGTTCAATGTCAGCCTTGGCTACATAGCAAATTTGAGGCTAGCATGGGTTATATGAGATTTCATCTTAAAAATAACAACAGAGAATTACTAACTGTTCATATGTATCTATTGACTCACTAATCCTTTTTCTGAAAATTTATTCAGAATTTGTATAATAAACAGTATAATAAATATAGAGGCCTTTTTCTTTTTATGACAATTGGAAGTACCCTAAAAAAGTGATGGAATAGGATTGGAGAGATAGCTCAGTGGGTACAGGTATTTGCTGCCAAGCCTGAAGACCTGAATTTGTTCTCTAGGACCCATATGACAGAGAGAATTAATTTCTGCAAGCTGTCCTCTTGACTTCCACATGTGTGCCATGACATGATATACATACTAGAGATTGAACCTAGGGCCTACATATGCTCGTTAAACACTTTCATTGAGTTTCTCCTTTATTTAAAAAAAAAGAAAAGAAAAGGTGGTACACTCTTGTGAGCTGTAATTTTATTTTCTTCTTTAATGATGGGTCCTACAGATGTAAATATGTGTGTGTGACACATCAATATGACATCAGAGCTTCCTTTTTCCTTCAGAAATTGTGTAACCTTAGCTTTATAGACCTGTTAGGCCTTGAACTCAGAGGTCTACCTTCCGCAGCCTGCTGTGCCACCACCGCCCAGCAATATTTTTTAAAAAGTATGCTACCATTGCTCTGGAAGAAATAGTGAGACTACTAGAGATGCATGGGAAACTCTCCATTGTATTCTTTTTTATTGTTATGTTACATATATGCACACACACAATGCTTTTTGTGGTTTTTCAAGTTAGGGTTTCTCTGTGTAGCCCTAGCTGATCTGGAACTTGGCTTTGTAGACCAGGCTAGCCTCAAACTCACAGAGATCCATCTGCCTCTGCCTCCCGAGTTCTGTGATTAAAGGTGTGTTCAAGTACTGTGCCTGCTCACACAATTTTTTTAAAAAAAAAAAAGATAAACCAAGCATGTTGACATGGCCTATAATTCTAGCACTTGAGAAGCTCGAGCAGGAGGATCATATTTCAAGACCCTGTTTCCAAAAAATGAATACTTTCATGTTATATATTATTTAGGGTAAAACATTCCCATGACAACAATAAAAGTATCATCTACCTAACACTGAGGACATAGGAAATGGTTAGCCACCCAACAATCTGGAAACTTAAAAAAATTATTTATTTATGGATTTATTTATTTTATATGTGTATGCACATGCCGACTTGTGGAGATTGAGGATGACATGTGGAAGTCGGTTCTCTTCTTCCATCATGTAGAATTGAGAGATTGAGTTTATGTCATAAGGTTTAGTAGCAATTCCCGCCCTCCCCCCCACCAGACAGGATTTCTCTGTGTGGCTTTGGAGCCAGTCCTGTAGACTAGGCTAGCTCAAACTCACAGAGATCATCCTGCCTCTGCCTCTTGAGTGCTGGGATTAAAGGCTTGGTAGCAATCTTTTATCCTTTGAATCATCTTTCTGTCCCACCTTCCCCAACCCTTGTGTTTAAGACAGCTTATAAATAGGTGATTTTAAGTGTTTAGGTAAAAGAACTGTATCTTTAGTTGACTTCAACTTGGATTTGGTTTAATAATATATTTTCATTTTTTTGGTCAAAGTTTGGATAAATACCATTCATTTACTATGTTCCAGAAACATAGTAGATACTGGAAATATGGCCATTATCATCCCCCAATTAACTGTTCCATAAGGATCTGATCCCTACTTTCATGGGCATTCATCTAGTAGAGGAGATTGGCATTAAGGAATTACGAATAAGGGCTGATGGTATAGATGATGTGGCGAAGCACTTAATATATTCCAGACTCTGACAATAATTCCCAATACCAATAAATCAAAACAAAACAAAACAAAAACATGTCTTTGGGTTTGGGATGTAACTTAGTGATAGCACTCACCTTGCTTGTGTGAGGCTCTGGGATAAATCCACAACACCACACACATACACACTCAAAAGTATTTGGAAAATTACAGCTTTGATAAGTGCTGTGACAGAGAGGTACGTGGACAGGTTTTTAGCTTGTGTTGAGTTTCAAATGACAGCCAGGCACTAAAAGCAGTTTCCAGTAAGAGGATGTAAATTTAGAACAAAATGTTGAGCTGAATCTAAATTTTAGAGCTATTTTAACCTTAAAAAGGTGTAGTTGGGAGTATGAGAAATGGCTGAGCCCTCTTAAAGAATGTGTAAATACAGAGTAGGATTCCAAGAACTGAGCCCTGGGGAATGCTTACAATTAAGGGTTGCAAAAAGGCTGGTTGTGGGAATTGTAGGGAACATGAGTGGTAGAAAGTTAAAAGATTTGCAAGAATTTATTTGTGGAAACCAAAGAAAGGAAAAGTTTCAGTTGTGAGGGTCAAGGACAGGGCAGTTTTTTGAAAAGGTAGTAGATACTAGGAGGGTAAACAGAATTAAAAAAAAAACAACACAATTAAGCTTATTGACTGAAAGGGGCTGGAGAGATGGCGCAGAGGTTAAGAGCACTGGCTGCTCTTCTGGAGGTCCTTTTCAAAGAGTTCAATTCCCAGCAACCACATGGTGGCTCACAACCATCTGTAATAGAATCTGGTGTCCTCTGGCCTGCTGGGATACATATGTATGGCCTGCAGGCAGAGCACCATATGTATAATAAATAAATGAATCTTAAAAAGAAAAGATTATTGACTGAGAGAAGGGTATATTGTAATCAAATGCTCTTGCCACTGAGCTGTGCCCTCTACTGGGGACTTTGTTTTTTAAAAAATAGAACAGCAGTTTTTTCAGGACCCAGATTTCACCTAATTGAGACTACATCAGTGTACTTGAGAAATTTGCTGGTTAAAAGGTAATAATAGGGGTGGAGAGATGGCCCAGAGGTTAGGAGAACTGACTGCTGTTCCGGAGGTCCTGAGTTCAATTCCCAGCAACCACATGATGGCTCACACCCATTATAATGAGATCTGGTGCCCAGAAGACTATATACATAATAAATAAATTTTTAAAAAAAGGTAATAATAGCATCCCAGTTAGTTAAAA